TAAACTCTTGACGTATGCAACTACTTGGATGAATCCCAAAGGTGCAATATGTTGAGGTCAAGGACATACTCAGATTACATACTGTGTGATTCCATTTATATGAAATTCATGAAAAGTCATAAGTGTAGTGATGGATAAGAGATAAGTAGTTACCCAAGGTTGTGCGTGTTGGGAGAGTGTGACTATAAAGATGTAAAGGGATAGGATAAATGACTATTTTTGATGTGCCGTAACTGGTCTCTACCTTGATTTTGGTGGGATTATACAAATCTGTATATCTAACATTCTCAGAATTGTACATACACAAAAGAAATAAAGAAGTCAGTTTTACTGCATAGATAATTTTCAAAAGATATTTAATTATAAAAAGATTATAAAATTCCTGGGCATGCAGGGCGGGCAAAAGTAGGTTTACAGTTGTTTGTATGAAAAACAATACAATAATAAATAATAATACCAAAAAAAAACTCTGCATCTCTCATAGTCAGAACTGTAAGTCTACTTCTGCGACACCCTGTATGTAGAGCCTAAGTATCAAATAATTATTATTACAGCTTTCTGTATAATCAGCTGTTTAAACATTTATTTTCTTTATTTGGTATTTTCAGTACTTCTAAGGTATTTTTTTAATCCTGCTTCTGTTAAATAGGCTAGGGGCTTGGCTAAAAGTAGAGCCAGTGCCAGATAAAGCACTGATCAGTTGGCATCCCTGGTAGCATGCTTTGATTGTGAAGGGTATTAGAGTATGCATATATAGTTAATATCATGCATGTGTGATTATGACCTGTCTCTTTTTTCTTTGAAATTTTGAATTTCTTGAGGGTTAGGAAGTTTTATCATCAAATTTCTAAAGTATTCATATATCCCTGGGCTATACATCATTACCATAGTGGTGTTGCCACATGTTCAGGAAAGTTTTCATAAAGTGAGTAGGGCATTTAGAGCATTGGAAGTGGCTGTTGGTCATTTGGAGTTAAATTGCAAACTGTTAGGCTTTGAGAGTTATTTCACTGTTTTTCTTATTTGACTATGCAGATAAATGTATTTTACTTATTTTAGCATATATTTCCACTTGATTTCTGATATGATGAAAGTGACAGTTTGTGTATCAGGATTCATTGCATATGTAGGCAGGTAGGCAGAGGTCTTTTGAGATAGAATCTTCAGGAATATATTGTATAAAAGTGACTGCTAAATGTACCTAGAATTAGAAACTTTTGGTTTAGGCTTTCTTATTTTGAACCATGAAGGAATTTAACTCTTCTAACTTAATTGTGAGATTAATTGTGTATGTGTGTGTGTGTTGCTGGAAATTGTGTTGAGTGTGAAATTATCTTGAGTATGGACTTGAGTTGGTTTCTTTTACAGTTTTATTCTTGCTATGATTACTCTCATCTCCAAAGTTTTGTAATGAAAAAAAAAATAGCATAAAAACTATGATGTTAGATATTTTCTATAATTTTAATTATCTTTTTGCAAGATTTCATTGTATCTCAATACTAAATTAAGCTACCTAAGGCATGAAAATTTATGAAAAAGCCAAAAAATACCCCTGTCTTACTGGTACCTTAAATATTTTTAGAACTTAATCTACTTCTGAATTTATTCTGATAATTACTTTTCTTGTAGTGTTTTTATTTTTAACAATTAAAAACATCTTTTTATAAAGTGAGGTGCTGAATCTCAGGGCAAATATAGAATATTTAATTTTAACATTATTAATTCCATTCTCCTTAATATATTTAAATAGCTCATCAAACTGAGGTACTTGCTTGTTTTTGTACAAAAGCAAATTGAAAGGCTAATTTCTGTATACTAAGAACTGCTTTTGAACTGAACTTAGGTTATCTATTTAATATTAATAATATCAGTTATAAATTAGGTCTATCTTTATGATATACTTTATCTTTACGTAATAAAGTACCTCAAATAATACAACTTGTTGATCACATCACATAAGTTAACTACATTACTTACTTAAAAAAATAAATAATGGAAAAATTAGAATAGATAAAGTAGTATTAAGATCAATTAAAAATCCATACTTATATAAATTTTAATGGAACCTAAATATAGTAGCATTTTTTATTAGAAACAGAATTTAGTTATATTCATACATAGTTATTAAAATTTTCAGGTATTTGTGGGCCAAGACTGATATTTTTCTGTTTTGTTTTGTTTTTAATAATATGGACCAGAAAGCTTTGGAGATTTTAATAAATATACTGTCATTAAATGTATTATTATACCATTTTCTTGAATTTTCCTAAGGTCTAGGCCTTTATAAGTATGACACTTGAAATAAATATTACTTCCTAATTTAATTGAGGCTTATTAAGAATTAGAAGATGGCAATTATTTTTAAGAAATGACCCTAAAGATTCTTAGTGTCGTTTTCCTTAAAAGGAGACAGAATTAGAAACCCATAATTGTTTCTGAAGTGGAATTGCTACTTACAGAACATACGTTACAGTGTCTATTGAAAAGTTTAGCAATTTTCCCTTATGAGATAAAAATCAGAACACTGTTTATCTAACCAGTAAAAAATTCCTGTGAACATATGTTCCTAGGTATTGCTATACTTTTCAAAAGAATTTCCTTTGTTGTGTACACTAGTTTTGGCTGACACAGATACTTGCTTTTGATTTATCCTATGTATTTAGATCCTCTACAGATGAACTGATGTGTCTAGACAGGAAGTGGTTTCTAGGAGATATAGGAATGGGCTGAAGTATCCTTTATATTTGCCTTTGTATCTAGGGGAGTTGGAAATAGGCAAGAATGGAGAGAAATTTTGTATGGCAGTACACAGAATTTTGCAAGTTTATTGTGAGCCCTGCAGCAATCCGATGCATTTTAGTTACTGGTAAGTTTGTTAAATTATGTTTGAAAATGTACCTCTTCGAAGATGGCCATCTATTTACTATTACGTCCACCATGCCAAATATACCTATTTTAAAGATTTTTAAAAGATACGGTATTGCTATTGCATTGGGTCTTAGGTATAAATTAATAATATCTTTGTTAGTGAATGAGGTTGACTTTTCAATTGTTGTCATAGTTAAAATGGAAGTGAAATTAATGTTATATGGATAACATAGTCATGTTAAGATTTTGGAAAAATAAAATTAATATTTCTGATTTTGTAATGAAACTCTACAGTGTTTAGAAGTCAGAGTTAATTCATTAGATGTTTGAGAAAGAGTTGTCTTTCTTACATAAAAGCATAAGAAAATCCATGGCATCCTTGTAATTTTATATGGCTCTACATAGGAGAGTGATTTATTGTAAGAAATACTTTTTTGCATTTTTTTATGGACCACAGGGATCATAGTGATGCTTTTCTAGTCTTTTTGGCAGTGCCTATGTTTAGGAACTCTGGTCATCTTTCTTCCTAAATCGCTAACTGAGGTGTAGGTTAAAGTTTCATGAAAAGACTAGGAAATTGTGTAATCTCTATGCTGTAGCTCTCGTCATTCTTTTCAAACATTTAGGCAGAAGTAGTATGTATAATAGTACTTAAGCAATTATTTGTGAAGTGGCTTTGACTATTGATACAATTCATTTAAAATGGACTTGATTACTTTTAATAGCTGTTCTTTTTAACAAAAACATTTTTAAAAAATCCCAAGGAATTCCTTGGTAGTTGTGTTTTTCTTGTAAATGTCTACCTTTGATTTTTAAGGACAAAGTAAAACAATAACATTGATTCGTAGTATAGTTTGTTTCTGTGGTTTAAAGATACAGTGCCAAATAATGTAATTGAATTTTAATTTCCTGTAATGAAGTACTTTATTTTCAAATATATTATATTTTTCTAGCTGAAATATAATGTTAAACTTTTGCTTTTTATAATAATGATAATTTTTGTTAGTTATTTTTATGAGAATTTTTTTTGATTTGAACAAGTATGGCTACATTGTCAGAGTAAAGTGGTATCATTTTTATTGAAACCAAAAGAACTAGAATAACTCCAGGGAATAGAATAACTTTAGGTTATTTTTGGGCCTTAATAATTTTCAGGTTTTCCTCATCACCAGATTTTTTAAATTTTTTGTAGGAATGAGTACTTGTGTATTAAAATATATTTAGAAATTTGAGGCTTTACCCATTGTGTAAATATATATTATTTTAATAGCTGGTAAAGTCTGACTTATAGTCATTTATTGTTACAAACTATGGTAAACATATAACTAGAAATTCTATCATGTATGAATGCTTCTGGTTGAAATTGTTCTATATAACTTTGTGAAGTAATATGTTATCACAGCTTAATTCAATGCAATAATTTCTTTTTCTTTTGTTTTTTCATTCAGTTGCCATATCAAGTGTTTTATGTTTGTCTGGCACATATCTTCATGCACTTTTGTGTTAGTATATACATTGTGCTACTGTCACTTTTCATTTTATTATTACATAAATCTTTTATTTTCTCTGCTCTCATGAACTTTTCCCGAGGGCATATAAGGTCATAAGTAACGTTGTACAATTCTCTGGATATTTTATAAAAAATGTAAGTTATTTTTGAAAAATAGGTTTAAATGAAAAGTTTATTTAAAAAATTGGTGTGTTCTTCCAAAACAATCTTGTATACCTATTTAAAAATCTTTCAGATATCAGGTTCTTCAAATAAATATTATGATAAAGTATTTATTATGATGAAGTAACATATTTGTGGGTGTGTTTCTTATGCTAGATTTACTTGAAGCAGGGAATTTATATGTGTTTCTGTAAACTTAAATGTTTTGCTTTGGAATATAAAAATTTCACACAGTTATGTGTTGATTTATGATATTTAATTTTAAATAGATAAAATTAGTTTCTTCATGCTTGTGAGAAAATATATTATTGCATAATTTAGAGTATAATAGTCATTGTCAGCAAAACATATTAGATTTGAATATGGTTATCTTTTGTCATAATAAAATACTGAAATTGAACACTGTTTGTAATCAACATTTGATGATGACATAATGAAATTATCTGTACTTTACATGCAGTGCTACTCTTTTGGCATTCCTGGTTGAACTCCTTAAAAGTTCAGTAGCCATGCAAGAACAGATGCTGGGTGGAAAAGGCTTTTTAGTCATTGGCTACTTACTTGAAAAGGTAAGTGATATATAATGGTGGTTTTATTGTGTAGCCGTCAAAGATGGACAACTGACAATCACTAATTATACATTTTCTATAGTTTCCCTCTCCATTGATATAAAACTGACAATCACTAATTAAACATTTTCTATAGTTTCCCTCTCCATAATATAAAAATGCTTGGGTGAACTCACAAGCATTTTTATATTATGCACCTAGATGTAAGTGTAGACATTGAACTAACTTGGGTGTTCATTTATATAATGAAAAAGTTTATATAATGAAAAAATTCTGAGTGAAAATAGAAACTAAAAAAATTTTTTTCATCTGCTTTTCTTCAAAGTTATGTTTATTCTTCTTTCTTAATCATGGAAAACTGTTTTCCTATGTATAGAGTACTGAGGACTGCTTAGAAGATTTATGTTAAATTACATTTTACTTGAATGAGATACTATAAAATACCTTTGCTACATTACTGTGCAAGACAAGATCACTGTCAGGAACTACCTCTTAAATATACTTGTCATTTTTTTTAAAATATACTAGTCATTTATTTATTTTAAATATATATTTTTAAATATACTTGTAACTTATTTACTGATGGTTTATCAGCATCATTCTAAAGTGAGCTTTTGTTTTTACACTAAAAGTTAGCTTAAAATTAGAAATATGTGAAAAGACTTCAAATCAAGTAAATACGCTTATTCAGTTCATTCTTTCTCAGAATCAATGTCCTTAATATTATACTGTCAGTTTAGTGGGTATAAATATTTTCTCTTTGTGGTATTTATTTGCATTTTTTAGATTTTGAATAAGATTGGATATATATATGCCTATATATGTATTGGACATTTATTGTTTCTCTTCTGTGAAGTACTTACTTATGTCCTTTGCCAATTTTCCCTACTAGCTTCGAGACCCCCACTCCTAGGCAATTTGTAATCTACTTTTTGTCTTTGTGATCTTATGTATTCTAGATATTTTTTATAAGTGGAATCATACAATATTTGTCCTTTTGTAACTGGCTTATTTCACTGAGTATAATTTTTACAAGATGCATACCTGTTGTAGCATATATCAGAGCTTCATTCCTTTTTGAAACTGAACAATATCCCATTGTATGTATTTACTACATTTTGTTTATTCATCTGTCAATGGACATTTGTATTGTTTCTATCTTTTGGCTACTATGAATAATGCTGCTATGAATGGTCATGTACAAGTTTGTGTATAGAGATATGTTTTTATTTCTCTTGGGTAGATATCTGTGAATTGATTTTCTTGGTCCTATTGTACCTCTATGTTCAATCATTTAAGAAACTGCTAGACTGTTTTCCAAAGTAGCTCTACCATTTTGCATTTCTATCTGCTTTTTTTTTTCTAGCCATCATCTTAGTAGGTGTGAAATGGCATATTATTTTTTTTTGCATTTCTTTGATATCTAATGATGTTAAGCAACTTCATGTGCATGTTGCCTATTTGTATACATTTTTTGAGAAATGTTTATTTAGAACTTTTGCCAATTTTAAATAATTGGAATTATGTGTTTGTTTTAATTATTGAGTTGTAGGAGTTATGTGATTTGCAAAGGTATTCTTATTTATTAGATATGTGATTTGCAAAGGTATTCTTCCATTCTGTAGATCATATTGTATTATCATTTGTATTTCTCTGATGACAAATTAAGTTGAGCATTTTCATATATTCATTGTCTTTTTTGTTATCTTTTTTCATTAAAACATGCAGTGATGCCCATTTTCATTTGAATTGCCTAACATTTTCTTATTAATTTATGGAACTTCTGTATATATCCCGGATATGAGTCCTCTGTTGGATATGTATTGCAAATATCTCTTCTTCTGCACCTTGCCTTTTCACTCTCCTAATCGTGTTTTTTTATGAATAAAAGTCCTTAATTTAAATATAGGTCATGCTTTCATTTTCTTTTATGATTAGCCCATTTTGGATTCTTATGTATGCCAAAGCCATGAGACTCAAAATTATGTTTTACATTTTACTTTTCACATTTAGATTTACAGTACACCTCCAGTTGAATTTTGTGTATAGTATGAGATATAAAGGTCAAAATTTATTTTTTTATGTATTCTCTCTTTCTCTCTCTGTGTATATGTGTGCGTATGTGTGCATGTATATATATGAATGACTGGGCGACCATCTGTACATGAGGTCATTTCCAGAATCTTATCTATTGTTTTTTTTCCCTGTCTTTGAGGCAATACAACATTATCTTGATATCTCATAGTGTGCCATTTAGCTTTATTGTTCCTTGAAATTGCCTTGGCTATTCTTGAGTCTCTGCACAAGTATATACGTCACCTTTATAATTTTCACCAAAAAAAATCCTAGGAATTTTATTGTATTAGGTTGACATGTTTCATTGAATCTTTAAATTCATACACTTAGTATATCATTCTGTTTATTTAGGTCTCTTTGGAAGATTTCTGTGTAGAAAACTTTTTGCTGGAGTTTTTACCTAGATAGTTGAGGTTTTATAAATTTAATTTTTTATTTGTTATTGGTAAATAGAAATATAATTGATGTTTATACTGATCTTTTATATACTTATCTTGTTATTCCTCTCTTAAACCTAGTAGTTTGCAGATTTAAAAAATTCTGTTAAAAATCATATATCTGAGAATGATAATTTTTTTTCTTTTTAATACATTTTATGTTTTTCCTCCCTTGATTAACTGTACCATCTAAGACATTCATTATAGTGTTGAATAGAAGTTGTAATGGTGAGCATTCCTATCTAATTTCAGATTTCATGGGCAAAACTATCAATTATTATCAACTAAGTAAGATATATGGTATAGATTATATTTTTCCCCCATTGATCCCAACCACACTGCACCTCCCACTCCAGGCCTTCACCACATTATTGTCTGTGTCCATGGGTTATGCATATAAGTTTTAGGTTACTCTCTCCCCACCCACCTACCCCCACTTACCCTCCGAGGTTCCTCTGTATGTTCCATGCTTCTATGTCTCTGGATCTGTTTTGTTCATCGGTTTATTATGTTCATTAGATTGCACATATGAGTAAGATAATGTGATACTTCTCTTTCTTTGACTGGTTTATCTCAAATAGCTTTGTACTCTCCAGGTCCCACTTTGCTGACTCAGAGCGCAAGGGGTCCGTTTTTACAGTTGCATAATATTCCATGGTGTAAATGTTCGAGAAGATGCTTGATACCATTCCAGTCTTCTTGACCTTGTAGAGACTGGTTTTGTGCCCTAACATGTGGTCTGTCATTGAGAATGTCCCGTGTGCACTTGAGGAGAATGTCTATTCTGCACCTTTGGCGTGAAATGTTATGTAAATGTCAATTAAATCCATCTGATCTAGTGTGTCATTTAGAGTCACTGTTTCCTTGATGATTTTTTGGTCTGGAAGATCTATACACTAAAGTCAGTGGTGTGTTAAGTTCCCCTACTATGACTGTATTGCTCTTGATCTCACCCTTAGAGTCCTCCAGTAGCTTTTTTTTTCTCTTCAGCCTGTGTGAGTCTTTTGATCTGAGGTTAGTCTCTTGTAGACAACATATATTTGGGTCCTGTTTTGTTATCCATTCACGTACCCTATGTTTTGATTAGAACATTTAATACATTTACATTTAAGGTTCTTATTGATCGGTGCTTATCTATTGCCATTTTAATTCTTTGTGACTATATTTCTCTCTCTCAATTTCTACTTCTTATTACAGCAGTCCCTTTAACATTTCTTGTACTGCTGGTTTGGTGGTAATAAACTTCTTTAGACTTTTCTGGTCTGGAAAGCTCTTTATTTCACCATCTATTTTGAATGATAGCCTTGCTGGGTAGAGTATTGTTGGTTTCAGATCCTTGCTTTTCATTACCTTGAACAGTTCATGCCATTCCCTTCTGGCTTGTAGGGTTTCTGATAAGAAATCAGCTGACAGATTTATGGGAACTCCTTTGCAAGTAACAACTTCCTTTTCCCTTACTGCCTTTAAGATTCTCTTCGTCTTGAATTTTTGGCATTTTAATTATGTTGTGTCTGGGTGAGGTCCTCTTTGGGTTCTTCTTGCTTGGGACCCTCTGTGCCTCATGAACCTGTGTGACTTTTCCTTCACCAGGTTAGGGAGGTTTTCTGCCATTATTTCTTCAAACAGGTTCTCTAACCCTTGCTGACTTTCTTCCTCTTCTGGCATTCATTCATATGATGTGAATATTTTTACATATAATTTTGTCCAACAGCTCCTTTAAACTGTCCTCCAGTTTTTTAATTGTTTTTTTCTTTTTGGTTCTCTGATTAAGTTATTTTTTTTCTACCGTTTTCTAATTAGCTGATTCAGTCCTTATCTTCCCATAAAGTGCTATTTATTCTTTCTAATGTATTTTTTATTTCTACTGTATCATTTTTAATTTCTTTCATGGTTTCCATATCTTTTCTCATGCTGTTGAGCATCCTTATGATCAGTATTCTGAACTCTATATCTGATAGATTACTTTTCTCCATTTCATTTAGCTCTTCTTCTAGTGAATTCTTTTGTTCTTTCTATTGGGCCTTGTTTTTTTGATTTCCTTATTTTGGCTGCCTGTTTGGATTTTTTTCTGTGTATTAATTAGATCTCTGGGACCCCCAGTCTTTTGGATGGTCTCTGGTCCCAACCAATGTCGGACGCTGTTTGTGATTGGCCTTTAGTACCCTGTTTGAAGCTTTCAGCACTCCACTGCTCTTGTTCCTTCTGCTGGGCTGGGTGCATTTGGAAAGGACCAGGATGCACACCAAGGTCATAGATTATGTTTTGTTGTTTTTTTAAATCAAATTAAGAAACTGTCTCTTTCAAGTTTGCTAAGAATTTTCTTTATCGAAAACAGGTGTTGAATTTTATCAAATGCTTTCTCTGCATTACTTTAGTTATGATCTTTCTACATTTTTTATTAGTTTAGTGAATTACATTGATTTTAAAATGTGAAATCATTCTTATATCCTTGGAATCCTCTCTAGTCTTAGGTTCATTCCCATTCTA